ACATTCTCTGCAAGACTGTAACGTTCAAGTCAGTAGGGAGAGAGTAGCGCTACACCACGAAAATTACTCTATCAAACAACAACAACAACAACAACAACAACAACAACAACAACAACAACAACAACAACAACAACAACAACAACAACAACAACAATACATCAGCCATTTGAACTGATGTTTCGCTGTCATGGTGACTTACGAAACCAAGAATAATATCAGGGAGAGAAGAGAGACCTAGCATAAAACCTTAATACCCTAAGCAAAAGTCAGAGTCAAGGCGCCTACGTCTGGTGTCAACAACATACCGTCACAAACAGCTGGCTATCGTGCAAAGATAAGGCGGCATCGGCGAGACAGCTTCTTTGCGGCTTTATCTGCCCCGCGTCATAATCAGCCATTATACCGCAGATAACTCAGCACCAAACACACTTTAAACAGGCAGTCCGACTACGAGACGTCAGCAGATGCGCCACTTTTGTCGACTGCGAGTCATGTCCTGTAACATCTCGAGCCAAACACAAGGCTGGTCACGTGGACTCCAGCCCGGAAGGCGAGACGGACCAACGGCACCCAGTTTGGTCGTCAGTGAGTTCATTTTTCGCTGCTAAGTCAACGTTTGTCCACCTCGAGCCTTGCGCCATCATATATTTGGCAGATTAAACAGGGCCCACTTCAGCAAGCCGTGGAGGGGGATACGTAGCACGTAGTCAAACCAACGCAACTTATTCGGTGCTATCTGTTGTTTTAAAGAACTGACGTGATTATCATTGTTCATCGCTATCAACGGTCAAGAGATGATCAAGTGACTGGTGGTACTGCATGCCAAACGATGAGACAAGTTTACGAAGGTTAATAATGGTTAACATGACCACGCAACATCGTCCGTATGCTCAAGAGCAACTAGCTTTCTAACAGGCAACATATCGATGCTTGCATCGTGAGATTTCGCTCCATGATGGAGTCTACGACGGAAAATGAACAAAATGGGGAAATACGGCAACGCTGAGAAAGGCCATTTGTTGTCGGAAAGATTTCCGACAGATAACCGTAGGCCCTGTGCGGCCTGTCGTGTTCAACTGCCGGGTACAGAAAATGTTCACATATTTGCTGAGAATACCTTTCCGAACAAGTACTGCGAACAGAATGCATCGGTTGATTGAATCGAACTCTCTTGAAGTCCACGAAGACAGCTATTTCGATCTACGGTATGTGTGGCGGTACTCTAACATCTGTCAGAATGAATATATGGTCCATGCAGTCCCGTCTTGGGCGGAGACCTGATTTCTCCCCCCTAACCCGGTATTCGCGTTCGGAAGTGAGGCGACGAACGAGAGTTGGAGCTAGTACTTCCGTCACCATTGGCGATGGGCTAAGAACCCTTATGGTTAGCGAAATCAGTGCGACTGCCATTCTTGTATACTGTTACTATAATCGATGCACTCCAATTAGCCGGCATGGTCTCTTCCTTACAGACTTGTCCGAACAGTGCGGTGGTGTTTTGAAGAGGACCTCACCACTATCCTTAAATAGTGTGGAGCGAGAGAAACCGGGCCATTTCTTGAACGTTGTGAGCACACAGACTCCGCTTTAGTTCGCACCTAATAGTCCGTCTAGTTACATTCTGATCAAAGCCAGTGGGAAGTTATCTTCTGAATTCCGACATGTTCACCGACGTCCCGGAGAGAAATGGTAGTGCCGCAAGTAGAAGCCCGTGCATGGTAACCGAGATTATATTGCAATGAAGCTCAGTGTACTTAGGACGAGAGAGTGGAAGTTCGAAACGTAGTACATTCTGCTTAAGGAGGATCGCTCGTGTTCGGTGGCAACATCGAGTTACCAGTAATGACGTTCGACGTCGCGTCTTGGGGAATGCAAGTATTTGCTTCAACAAACTGGTTTTGTTGCGCCAGTTAAGATGGCTCGGTCATGTCCTACGCATGGCACCTGAGCGTCTACCGCGTCGCGCTCTATTCGCTCGTCAAGGACCTGGCTGGAAGCGACCGCGTGGTGGTCAGCCTTCCACTTGGCGGCAGCACATGAAATCGCTGACGTCGTGTCTAGCCGCTGTTGGACCCGTACGTCTTCCAGGATGGGGACCCAAAGATGGAGAGTGCCAATGGCTTAGGACACTTGAAGACATGGCCCGCAACCGGAATCAATGGAAGAATTGTGTGCAGTATTGTACTGATGCACATGTTTAATTCTACAAACATTGAAAATGACAAAAAAGAGAAAAATCGGCGTGTGACAAACAAACTAAAAATGTTTTGTTCTGTATTTCTGTCAAAATATTCCATTTTCTTGCGGCATATTAACTGAAGTGTGTTGCCCACCTTCAGCTAGCATGCCACGACGATTATGACGCAATGACTGTCTCTTATACACTGATTTCCATGGCTTTCTTGGCTCTATGTCTAGTTACTAGACTGTTGAGATTACATACATACATACATACATTCTGGTAGATTTGCTTGACCGAGGGCTGAGATAACTTCACAGCTGCTAATCGAGGGAGCCGCCTGTACGCCTCCCAGCAACATGATGGAAAATGACAGAGTCCTAAATCGGGATCAGTGTCGACGCAACTATTCAAGAACGAGCGACAATCCAGGATGGAACCATGCGAGTTGTAACTTATGGCAACGTGACCAATTTAGGCTCATCGCTGGCCAGCTAGGGCGAAGCGCCAAGTAGCACTTTGGCACCCACTGTGTCTAAAAACGGTGCTACTAATAAACAGCTAGTGCTCCGCACACTGTTGCAACAAACACTCTCCGTTGTCCATCCGACCGGAGGAAACCTTATATTTACTACATAACTGAGCTTCTAAACAACTCAAACGACCTGCTTGTGCATACATATCTCCTTGTGACAGCAACGAAAGCGGAACTGGAAACACTGCGTAGTAGCGGATTCAGTACCTCGTAGAAGGCGTCCTTGGTACCATCAGAACGGCAATCGATGGGAGCATAAGCGTAAACCACAAACAAACAGCATCTTCTCGTACTTTGTGAATCAACCTTACTTGATGTCGGCAAACGAGATACACACAAACGGCTGTTCACCGGAATGCAATCAGTTTTGGAGATGAGAACAATGCCTACCCCCACCTTGATCTTTGAGTGCCGCATTAGTGCCTCCGAATCCGTGCAATCAATAGCGAGAGGACAAGTAGGTGCGGTTAATTTCACAACATTGTGACAGTTGTTTCGGACACACAACACACGTCAACACCCGGAGTGTCCAACGTGCGTGCGAGTGCAGCCAGTTGACTTATTTGCTTTGCAGTGCGAACGTTGAATGCCGCCAGGGAAACGGGGCAGCGTGGCCTTATAAGGGGCAGTCGCAGATAGGCATAAAATGGGTGGTTCGGGAAGATAACTGCAATGGTTGAACTGCGGTGGCGTTGCGGCTGCTATCAATTAAGCTGGAAATTAAAGTAGGAAGGCTAGTAATGGGGGTTGGGAGGGGAGTAGGAGAAACAGATGGAAAGAAAAGAAGGGAGGTGGCAACAGTAGCATGTTTTCGTTTATCCGCCCTGCTGTATGCAGTACATAAGGTGAGCTTTGATAAGCTGCGCGACGACCGATGCAGGATGTGGTTGAAGTTCGAAGAAACAGTCATGGTAACCGGTATCCACCATGACCCGGCCAATGTGTCACGGTTTCGAGACCATAAGCAAGTCGATGAAATGAGCACCGCTGACGAGTTTCGAAAGGAGAAAACAACGGACTAACACTCTTCCGAACATCGATGGTGATATGGCTGAGTCCGGCCGTGTTGAAAAGTTACGAAAAAAACACAAGCCTCAAATGAAAGGGTTAGCAGTCGTAAAACGAACGCGACAACGCAACGCTCTATGGGTTCCCAAACCACCATGGCTGATCTAGAGCTATCACAGAAGAAAATTACATGCAGTAGAGCATGTTGAACAGCTGTTTTAGTAATAAGAGCAAGAACAGAAATGGGTGCTGAGCTACGATTTTTTCTTGGCTAACTTCTAACCAGAGGATGCGTGAACACACGCCGGTGTGGTTATACAAAGGGGAAACAAGGTCTTCAGACACATCTGTTATATCACACTTCCATGATTATAGGCATACAGCCACTGCAAATGATTCAAAAGTCATCCATGTATTGCATGAACCCCTCTCGCAAGACATCCGTAAACAACTATACATTGACGAGGCCATAAACATTCACCATTCGAAGCCGCAATTGTGTGTGCAAAAGCGATTCATACGGCCGATGCGACTACCGTTGCCGACAGACACTGTTACTTAACCGTTTGAACGTCATCTCAGCCGTTTAGCTCGGATGGTTGAGGTTCGACGTGCCAATTTTCCTTTGTTCGCCTAGCTTACCAACCATAGCCCAACCTTAAGTTGTCGAGTTGGCTGTTCAAACAACTTAGAAATCAATCCACAGCCCGATTTGACACTTAGAACACACAATCCCCGATATTGAAATGTTTAGGTCGGAAGATATATACACATGTATTTAACACTTGACCAATAGACAATTGGCGGAGTGCCCATAGCATGGATAACAACGGGAACAATGGAAAAATAAACGTAGGTTTACCCAAGAAGAATTCCTGATCCACTACGCTTTTCTAATATGAAGAAATGGGAATACTTACGTCGTTGAAGAGCAGCACTGCCCGCGATTCACTTGGCCGTTTTAAACCAACTCACTACATCCATATTTGGTCACGACGACACTCCTACAAATTCCAGTAAAGTCTAAGCAAACATGACGGAATACAGAAACACAGACTATACTGACCATTCAGTTGAGATGGTTTAGCGTTACGTTGATTTTTTGGTATCACTTTGCAGTCACCTCAGATATCGGCGGCAATACTGCCTAGTAGGTGCAGGTGCTCAAATAAGTGAGAGTTAAAAGGAACAAAATAAATGGTCTTAGTAGGACAGTGAGCACGTTTTAATGCATAACTAACCGACTTAGATCAGTCGTTTCAACAGGGCTGAGCTTACCGCACAGAAAATAATGGCTTGGCCGATATGGAAATCCCCATAAATGTCCGCCAAAGCTGCATACTTTTCTGTCCAATCTTTGAACAGAATGTAGTACTGTTTGATATTCTTTAAAGGCAGTTGAGTTCGCTTCACTCGAATTTCGATCGGATTGGGCACCAATTCCCGAGCGAAGTCCATCACCTCGTCTTCATAGGTGGCTGAGAAAAGTAGTATTTGACAATCCGGTGGAAGTTTACTGAAACCAGACCGCACACGAAGGTGAGAGCGAGGTAAGGCAAGTAGAAGTGCTGTAAACAGTATGTAACAGTCATTGAGGCAGTAGCGCATGTACCGGTTCAAATGCAATTATGGTGACACCTACATAGTCAGGATTGGCCGTTGACTTTCAAGTTGGCGGCTGAACACTTCCCAAATGGGGCTCAAGCAATCGTTAGGGGCAACAAAGTGGGGTAGATCAAGCGGTGGACAGGGACCCCGCCTCATCTATCGCTAAACACCTTACGATGATCAACTCCTTCAAGTTGTTAGTGCGAAATAATAATTGAGAATTGATGGCAATCAATGAGACATTATGGAAAAAGGTAAATCGTCCGGCGCAGTGCGTTCAGAAACAACTGAGAAAATCGAGCACGCTGACACGGACTTGATTGCGTTATGCACGCCTATTCCGTTATCGCTTAGCTACGCCACTAGGTTTTCGTCATATATAACTGAGCAAATTATTGCTTATATTGCGCTGCGACTGATGGGAGTAATTGGAATGTTCACACCTCGCGTATATGTAACGTAGGTTGGGATCGACTTGCGTATAATTGAAACGCATAGATTAAATGTGTCTAGTTTTGTTAGGTCAAGGTCGATCAGGTTCGGAGTTGCAAATATCGACAGCCATACGCGTCAGAGTTCTGATCATGAAAAGTTAGACCAATCTGCGCACTTGCTCACGGAGGCTCCGTGACGTACGCTGCTTCTGTATCCAACTTTGGTGCACATATCTGTGGTCCCCAAGCGTTCCTCTTAAGCTACTAATCCGCTATAGTCCGGTTTTATGAATAACTTCATAATACTGATTATTAGCGCCGCAGTACCTGCATTTAGTCTAGCACAAGATGTTTGGCTGACACTAGGTGAACATCCTCTGTGGTGCGTCACACTAGTGCCTGCTGGCTACTGTGTTAGCACGTGTTGGTTTATCACCGTTGTCGGTACCATATTTGTCGACTTTCATTTAGGTAGGCCCTCGGCATTCGGTTGGCATCGCAAAAGGCTACGTCCATGATGTGTAATGTTAAACCCTTGAAAGTGAGTAAGTCGGGGTTCTGGTGTAAGTGTTGAGCCGCATTTGCGTAGTATGATAGCGAGATATCTCATTACGCCGTGGTTCCGTTTGCATCTGGCGTTGCGGTTGCCACTACAAGATTGCAAATTATGTCATGTTGCTTTGTACTGTTCACAGGCTCCTTGCCAACTAAATGTCTACCGCTTGCTCTCCTCATTTTGGTGGAAAGTACACCAACCCGAAATTGAACTCCGCAGATGCATCATCATCGTCATCATCATACACGTTAGCTAGAGGTGGGGAACACCTCAGCTACTGTGCCGCAATACAAAGAAAAAAGGAGAGAAAAAAAACAACTGGGGCAAGCTGGCTGAGCTACCGGTAACGGATGGGCATCGTTCCGGTAAGCTACCAGCCGGCTGCTATGCACCCAAAAAATTATTATGCGAAATTATATAAGGCTAAATAATGAGATCGTGGTTGGAGGGGGAGGCAAAGGGGGATGGGGTGGGACAAAGAAACTCACAGCACGAACGCCACTGAGGTCGGCTCCTTGCCATATCAGCAAGTGTGTCCAACTAAACGTGTTCATCGTCTTTCGGACCCCAACCAGGGAGCCGAGACGCTCCAACCGAGGCCAGCCCCGAAGTGAGGGCCTTCATTCATCTCGACCAAGTCATCGCTTGGCCACCCCTCCTCTTCTTCCATCCACACCCCCGACGCGCAAACAACACACGTCGCGGAAGTCGGTGGGCTGGCATGCGTAACACGTGGTCGAGCCATCGGAGCCTGATGCGTGAAATGACGGTGCTGAGCGGTTCATTTTCTTTTCCTGTGCCATAAACAAGGCGTCGAACACGCTCGTTGCTCACGCGGTGTTCCCACAAAATGTGAGCTAAATTACGAAGGCACCGGTGGTCGAACGTAACTAGCCTCTTCAGGTCCGCTGCTTTAAGCGGCCAGGTTTCACAACCGTACAGTAGGGTCGAACGTACTGCTGCATTGTACACTCTACCCTTCAGGGTGAGAGTGATGTCGCGCCGGCGCCATAAGTGGCGAAGGTTAACAAAAGTGCACCGAGCTTTTGCTATACGATTCGTGATTTCATCTTCAATCCCACGGGCGCTGATACAACTTCCCAGGTAGTTGAATTTTTGAAGGACTTCTAGCTGATCCCCACCAAGGGTCAGCGTAGGAGGCGGTCCAGACCAATTTTGGAGAAACGCTTTGCACTTCGAGGGTGCAAAACAAAGCCCGAGGTGACGGACAGCTAGTACTAATCTGTCCAGTGCCATTTGACACCTTTATGAGCTGTCACAGATCAGGGCAATATCATCAGCATACGCTAAGTCAAGAAGTCGTTCTTCTGGGAGTAGCTCCACACCTTCTAAGTCGTGTCCTGTGAACGCGATTTCCATGGCTTCGTCAACAGCGAGGTTGAAGAGGAAAGGTGACAGCGCGCATCCTTGTCTCACGCCACTGGAGATTTTAAAGGGCGACGACAACTTGCCGTAAGCCCTCACTCTGCCCGTGCTACGCGCATATAATGCTCGGATAATATTTACATATTTCTCAGGTACACCTTTCCTGAGTAGACAGTCCCAAAGTGCATGTCTATCCACCGAATCGAATGCACCTTTGATATCGAGGAACACGACTACGGTGGGCCGCCAATATATGTGACGGTGCTCCAACAACTGACGCAAGGTGAAGATGTGGTCAATGCAGCTACGACCTCGACGAAATCCAGCTTGTTCTTCGCGAATCTGGCTTTCACGAGTGCCAGTCAGTCTGTGAAGGATGACAGAGGCAAGGAATTTGCAGATGCATAGACGCTGGAAAATCTGTGAGGTGGTATTACGAAAGCAGTCGTTGACATGAAGGGCTTTGGCAAATTCGCGGAGGGCGGCTCCATCGACGGAATAACGTAGCATTTCCATTCGAACGGCTTTAGTGGAGTTCTTATCCAAGATTAATTACCCTCCTACCTGTACCAGTGTTAGGACCAGCCGCTGGATAGTGACAGCAGCGGGATCGCAGATCACCCAGCTAGTGAGGGGATGAGGTTTGGAGAGTTGACGTTCAAATCGCTGTTTGGATATAAGAAGGACCATTGTGGATATTGGTCGGATAGCAACTCAGAAGTCGTCCACGGAGGTGTGAAGATAAGCAGCACACGTGTCGTCAGGTAGCCACAGCCACTTTCAGACGTTCCCTTTGTGTGCACTGATTTAAGTGCTTTTTGGTGGAACATGATCCGTGGGAAGCTGTGAATCTGGCGGGTTAGTAGGAATGTGCGCAGGATGTCCATGCGCTGTTGCGATTTTAGTGGATCCTACGTGGTCTAAATAAGGTGTCCTAGGTCTGCACATGAGTCCGGTGAACGCTCATCGGGTCAGTCAAAAGGAAGGCCAATTCGCTTAAACGAGTCTGAAGGTTTGACAAATGGGATTAGTATCCGATATCAATAAAGTGGAGTTGTATTCAAAGCCGTAAGTTTTCTTGCTCTGTCGATGACTAGGTCGACAGCGGAAGACTTCATTGGATTCACTATTAAGCCAACGAACCGTATACTTTTCTGGAAGGCGTTCGACCAGGGCATTGGGATTTTTTGGAACTGAGATGAAATCGTTGGCATAAGGTATGCAAACCAATGGTCGCGCAGGTGAGTCCCATCCGGAGTTGTGTGATTGTTGCAAAGATACTCAGCCCGAGCGCGACTGGTGGTGGTTGCGCGGGAGCGAAGCGCCGTTACGGCGTACAGCTGACACATTATTATCATTATTTTATTACCGGGTGACATGATGACGATTACGGATCGCCTTGACGTGGAATGCCTGTCTTGGATGTACTGTAAGTTCGTTGAATGCTGTATTCGCGAAGAGGAGTAGTAAAATGAAAGATAGTTAATGATAAACGGTGGTGCCCCGAGAGAAAATGCTGTTCCGAGCAGAGTAATGTGGAATGGAGTCAAAAGCTTTTGACATACCGATTGAGCATAAACAAAGGGGGGAAACAACTGGTACGAGCGAAGCGAAGAATTGGATAAATGATTGTTGGTGCTTTAGATCTACCATCCTTCTGGAGGAATCCGAACCGAAGTCGATCCAGAGGGAAGTAACGGAACCGGAAGTTCGCAGAGGATGCGGTGGACAAGACGAGTGACGACAGAAGTGACGGAAGATGTTCTACAAGAGTAAGGTCATTTATCTTTGGTGCAAAAGTGACCCGTGAGACGTTCATGTGACAGGCGTATGGTGCGCAGACTAAGAGACAATTAAAGGAAGCTGTAACAAATTTCAGAATCATATTGCTGACACCCTTTTGGGATACCGGGTCTACTCCCGAAGCATTGCCTTTCATCTTGTAAGGAGCCGCGGGCCCCTCAAAAGGTGACACCAATCTTGTTTTCCGCACGATGATGTGGTTGGGGCAAGTCGGTGGCTGTCAGGTGACTTATCATAGCCTTCCAAAAGTCAACGAATCCCGGCTTGTATTATTCATCCTGTATGTATGCTGTACGACAACGGCCGTTAAGTTCTGTTACCGATAAGTCCTCGGGCCATACGTGATGCAGTCTTTGGATATGAACAAATTGCCATCGCCAGCGTTGGCTACTATTAGTGGCTATCAATGTTCGGCTGTGACCTCCAGGAGTGAGGGAGGTGTTAAACGCAAAGGTGGTTGGTCTGCTAACAGAATATGTTCTTGGACCGCCCTTCCCAGGCATGTGTTATAATCTTCTCACTAGACGCGTTTCCGAAAGTGACACTTCACTGCTCTACAAAACTTCTAGCCCAACTGAAGGAAAAAGCAGAACGCCAATGATCTTGACAAAATAACTTATTAATCGCCGTCAACAAACATTGTACAATTACCGCGGACCTGTATTTATGGGTCCCTTACTGACCTTCGATTTCTAGAATTGGAAGGTCAGCTATCAAGGTTAGTAGTTC